GGAGCCGAGCGGCAGTGGCGGCGGAAGCGACTTGGGCTACGCGGACACCAGCGCCCCGGAGCCCGCGAGGAGCGGTTTGGCCCCGGGCAGGAGGCACAGCAGAGCAACCGGGCAGCCCGCGGGACTGACACTCACCGGGCCTCTCAACCCCCAGACTTTGGAACTGCAGCTGGAGCAGGAGCAGCAGCAGGAGGAAGAAGAGGAAGCTGGGGAGCGAAAAGAGGGAGGGGATGAACAGCAGGAGGCGTCCCCCGGTGAGGAGCTGGAGCCCAGGACCCACGCCTGGGCCCCCGAAGGACTGGTTCTGGACGTGCTGGGTCAGCGGCGCCCGCCCCCCTCCAAGAGACAAGTCTTCTGCTCCGTCTACTGCGTGGAGAGCGACCTGCCAGAGGTCGCCACCGAGGAGCCGCTGTCGCCGCCCGCGTCGCCGCCAGTGCCGAACCCTCCCACCACCCCCGCCTCCTTCCCCAGCCCCCGGCTGTCGCTCGGGACGGAGCCCCTCTCCCCCGACGGCGGCAGCATCGAGCTGGAGTTCTACCTGGCCCCGGAGCCATTCTCCGTGCCCAGCCTGTTGGGAGCTCCACCCTACTCTGGCTTGGGCGGGGTAGGGGATCCCTTTGCGCCCCTCATGGTGCTGATGTGCCGGGTGTGCCTGGAAGACAAGCCCATCAAACCCTTGCCTTGCTGCAAGAAGGCCGTATGCGAGGATTGCCTCAAAGTCTACCTGAGCTCCCAGGTAACTTCACCCTCTTCTGTACTCCATTCATTATTCCAAATCACTGACCAAGAGGTCCTGCCCTCGAGCCTCCTGCTCACAGAAAGAGGTGACTAGACGTACTTACTGAGGACCTCTATGAATTCTCACATCTCTTGTTGGTATTATTTGAGTGTGTTTGCCCTCACTGGTTTCCTTGACTGGAATTTAACTCTGCTCTGAGCTTCAGGCTTTGGTTGGCAGCTGCAGAAAGAAAAAGGTACAACGAATTGCCCTCTGCTTATTTCTTTAGTAGATTGCAAGCAAGAGCTTGCTCAGAGAACAGTGAGCCTGCCTCATGGGCCTGGTATCCCAGAAACTAACAAACAGTGGGCATAAAATAAATATTTATGGAGCTGGTGAAGAGAAGGGTTAGAAGTAATATTTCAGGCCATGATATCTGACATTTTAATTTTGCTCCATTTATATATTTCAGAAAAGTGTCAATTTAGGAGAAATTGATTCCTTGGCACTGGCCCACTTTTCGCTTTTCTTTTTCCACAGTGTAGTCGAAGTACTTTTCTTCACTGAAGTCTTAAGCCAACACAGTACTTTATTATTTTTTTTAAGAGAAAAAAAAAGACAGAAAGCAAAACAAAGCAAAGCAAGACTAAGAAGTTTAACGAAACAAGTGCTGGCGAAAGTTTCTCCCTCTGTCTCTTATTTGAAGGCTTATTGGTTTATTTCTTGGAAAGCCTGAGACTGCAGCAGAGCAGCTCTCCTTTGCTGATGGTGAATGTGTTCTTCCAGCAGTTTTCAATCTGTGATGTTTCTGCCAGTGTATTTTGCACAATCCGGAATGCCCTTTGATCCCCTGTCTGATTGTCCTAGGCTGTCCTAGGCCTATTCATCTTTCAAAATCCTGTCTGTTCAGGTGCCAAGTCTTCTGGGAAGCCTTACCTCACCCTCCAGGATACTGCTTATATATTTTTATAATACTTCTACATATCTTACATGAACTGAAGTTGTTTATTGAGTGTCTGTTTGTCTTGCTAGTCTGGACAATGTCTTACAGTCCCGTATCTGGTAATTTCGGGCTGAGGCCCTTTCACTTTATAGTGTTTAATAACTCATCGAAGGGCTCCACACACTGTGGTTCCTCTGTGTTTTGTGGCTAATCCATACTTGGGTCTAGACTGAAAGTGTTTACTGTGCCCTACTGAAAATGCAGAAGGAAATTTAGATAGAATGGAATGTTACACAAACAGTAACTTGGCCAAAATAGTTGAGATTATCCAAACGCCTGTGAGGCTATGTCTTTTTCTTGCATGATCCACAGACACTTAAAACAGGAAGAATGTCTGCTGTTCATTGTGGTCGTTTCTATGACATCACCATCAAACAAATATTATTACCATTCATGTGCAAAACCCTGGGTTCAGATAGTCCCAAAATATGGACCCTGCTCCAAGGGAATCACTGAGAGCAGATAGGTACTCGAGTACAATACATGGTACCATGTAATGAGATATAAAGAGTAACAATACCAGGTTTAGAAGGTCAAGGGAGTAGTCATTCTATGTTGGGATACTCTGCTTAGCAGTTTGATTTCTTTAAGGTGGGCCTTTTCCTAAAGTAGTTGTCTTATTCTATTTTTGTTTTGTTTTGTTTTTTAGAGATTTTGTTTGTTTTACATATTGCTTGCACTTGCCAGAGAGAGACAGAGAGAGGGAGAGGGAGGAAGGATCCCCTCCCCCCTCAATGGGGAATGGTAATGAAACAGCAATCCCTTCTTCATCTCTCCCTCCTTTTGGGATTTTGGGCACACATGTGCATGCACCTGGTATGTTTTACAAGCCACCAGTTCTGAGAATCCAAGTGTGTCCATGCAGTTGGCCATCTGAGATCCAACTCCTTTATCTACCAGACCATGGACTAGCCCGCTTTTTCTTTATTTGACCACTGTAAGTCAGTTTTAGAAAGTCGGTGTTTTGATCTCCAATGTAGGGCAAAGGAATGCTGTTGGAGAGGGCATAGCAAGGAGAGTTAAGTGGTCATTGCTCTAGGGAACCATTGAAGACTCCCCTGAATGACATGTGATCTGAAGCTTGTCTGCAGTATTTAAGATAATATGAATGTTTCTGTCGTTCCAAAACATTTGACAGAAACTTCAATATAGACAACTATACGTTATTTAAAATACGAAATGATGAAAAAGATGAATCATGCATACCAGGCATACTTCCACTCTGGGCTTTTGGACTAGCTGTTCCCTATGTTGAAATATTTCCCTCCACGGCCCCTTTGTTTGCTCACTCTACCATTTCCCCTTCCAGATCTGTGTTCAAACGTCACCACCTGTGGCCTTCAGAGACTGTGATTTTTAAAGTTGAGCCCCACTCCACACTCCCTATGTCTTTTCCTGCTATTTACTACACAGTACTAATATCTTCTGTCTTGAATAATTAAGTTCGATGATGATAGGAGATTTTACATGGTTTGTTCACTTCTGTATCTTTGGCATCTCCAATATTGTCAGGCATATAACAAATGTACAACCAATAGAGATGGAATTTATGAAGAGCTTGGGATTGCCCCAGAAGCCTAGGCTGGCAAGTGGTATTCTGCTTGGGCACTAAATTCTACTCTGAGCTTCTTGACCTTCTAGACAAAAAACAACACAGTCAAAACAATATGTTTGTTACTAAACCTAGAAACTTAGAATGAAAAAGTTTGGATGAACTTTAACTTGTACAAAAATTAGCGTTTTTTCAGTTGCATAGAAATATAGGCTTGTGGTTGTAATATTTCTGATTTATGTTAATTCTAAGCTCTCTTCTACTCAGAGAATCTGTGTTTCCTTGTCACTTGGTCTCATCGAGGAAATCTTATTTTAGATGATGCTTTGTAATGGACCACCAGGTCCAAAGGTGGGGGGGGGGTCAAAAACCTGGTTATTTTGCTGCCTTATTGAATGAGATCAAAAGGCATGGTAGGTGCTTTCTTTCCCAACTTATAAGGTTTTTTTAGGTTTAATAGAGCACATATGTCAACCCTGAACTTTCAAGGCTCTTAAGACCTTTTGAAATGAAATACTATATTTGATAATGACTTTTTGACCGTATTTTGGAGTTTGTGCCAAATTACTTAGTACATTATTTAACATCATTTAAGAAAATAAAGCAGTCTTTATTTAGCCTTTTATGCAAACATTAAAAATGCATATTAAATGTGACTTGGACTATTGCCTAGTTAAATGAATATTCTTATAAAAAAAAGATGCTTAGTTCTTTGAAAGAAGATGTAGCTTGGAAGATAGGTATGTAGATATCTAGATGATGACTATTTCCATTAGTGCGGTGGACTGACTACGTGACAAAGGCAGTTAGGGAGATGTTAATATTTCAGAACAGATGTAGCAGATCAGGTAGTGACTTTAATATCTCCATGCCATAGTATAACATACTATGGCATAGTATAACATACTATAACATACTATGGCATAGTATATAACATACTATAACAATATATAACATAGTATAACATACTATGGCCTAGTATAACATACATAGTTTTGTTTTTCAGAACATAATTTTTCTCCAGTTATTACTGTGCTGGGTCTGGGAAAACACTTCTTAGTGAAATGACTTTACAGTGCTGTAGATTCCGTTAAGTTTCTGATTGATAGATGATAAATCTTTGGCATCAAAGTAGTCATTGTTTTAAAGGCTATAGCGTACCAGAGCAGAGAGAGTTACATTAGTTTATATTGCCTGGGTATGTAAATCCTTGGTACTTACATTTCAGAAGTGCATTTCCTAGTGACCCATGTATGCATAGATGACTCTGGCTAAGGCACACAGTCCCAGGGTTGTCTGTAATTTCCTGCGAGACCCAGATCACTTCTCAAGACTGAGTGTTGACCTTTTGAACTGATTTGGCCTTACCACACTTTCCTAGTAAGAAAGATTTTCTGTTGCTTTCTTTGTTTTATAAAATGATAATTACACTAACTTCAGAACTCCTCCACAGATATCTTTCCTGTATGATTTTGTAAAATCTGTAAAATCTGTTGAAATATGAACTATCAATATTTACTACTTCAGATAAGGAAAGGAGGGCACCTAGTATGCTAAAGGTCTTGCTAAAAGGTAACAGCTGTTGTAGCTTTCACCACACTGCCTGAAAATGCTAGGGATTGGCAGATGCATATGACTTGGAATGTATACACCTGTCCAGTGAGTATTAATAGAGACAAGCAATGCATTTCTTTAACAGATTTGAATAAAACAGCTGCTAGATGATAATATCCTAAAATGACTGTCTACTATAGTCGCCCAGAATCAGTGACCTAGAGATGAAAGCTTATATAGATCCTGTTATTAACCTCTGAGTCATCCAGAAGGGTAAAACTGTAAGGTAACATTTTTTTCCTTTAAATCTTAAAGCAACAAGAGTATTTTTAGAACCACTATGTTCAGTATGTCAGTATGGAGTTTGAATACCAGTGTCTTCACACAGGTGAATTTATAGATACTAGCATGCTAGGTGTGATTTTGGTAGTCCTGAAAATGAGAAGAATAATATAAGACTTAAATATGTTTTATTAGACTTAAATATGTTTTAAACTAACTCTATAAATTTGTTAAGTGAGAATTAAGGCATGTTTAAGCTTATACTTTTATGTGTGTGTGTGTGTGTGTGTGTTTGTGTATTTGGGGGGTGAGGTACATTTGCTTTCATGTTTTAATGACTTAAACCCTTGTTTTCCTCCTCTTTTTCTACCTCATTTTGTTTTAATAATTTTCTTTCTTCCTTTACTTTTTAACAACTGATTTTCCCTGGCATTTGATTTCTGCAGAGGAATCCTCTGTCAAGTAGTGAACCCTGGGCCCAGTAGGAGCTGGTGTGCATGCCACATGGATATTTCCCTTCCCTTCCAGCTGTCTGGAGATGAGGCTACAAGGAGAAACCCTCCATTGTGCTCTCCACTAAGAGACCTCAAAAAACATTACAAGTGCAACTGACCTAAGGCATCAACT